TTCACTTTCTGCTTCATGCACCCACTTGGACTCTAAAATGACTTTTACTACGACTCTTACACAAGTGACAAGACTATACTACTAGGCTACTAGCCACCTTACTCACTCATTGGAACTCTCCTTCCTTGATTGACTCTTCTTAATCATTGGGACTCTAACTAAACCACACTTAAACACTTGGGCCCAAATCATCCTTTAGCCCATTAAAACCTTATTACAAAACAGAAGCCCAACATCTTTGTTTCTGTTGACTTGTTTCCTTTGTTGTTGACCTGCTTCTTTTCTTTGGTCACGACACTTTCTTCTTCTTCTCCATTGAAGCTTCTTCTGTTATGCAGTTAGTCCTGAGGTAAGTATGTCAACAACTTCTGGATCTGGTCTTGGAACAGGAAGTACGTGCTTAGAAGATACTACCTAAATCAACAAAAGACCGGACCACATGATCACTGAAGCCTTGGAAATCTCAACATACTGGTCTTAAGATTTAGGAGCTCTCATACTGTTCAAGGATTGACTGTGCTTAAGGCCTTAAATAGCCCCTGGTGATGGCCTACTGCGGTCAAATCTCATAGATCTTGAGTGAGTTTTATCCTGTAACTATTCATGTTTGGTCAAACATTGTAAACTATGTTTGATATTAATATATTTGATTTGACGGGAAAAAAAAATGAGAAATACGTTAGAAAAAGAAAGAGAAATACGTAAAATCTCCGGTCAAGCCTCCTAAAATCAAGGTAACTGTCATCTGAGATTATTATACATAGCACACAATCTAAACCGTTTTAGTATTATTTACCCTTTTGATATACGAATGCCTCCCTACCACAAACACTAATAATATCTCTGATCCATCTTCGGAAATGGAAATAAGTTTCAGCTTTAATGAAGCCCATGCACCTGTTACAATTAACGTTCCGGCTAATGTTGGTTTTACAATTAATGTTAAACCTGTTGCCGGACACGTACCACCCGTTGGTGGAGGTGGTGGCGGATTAAACGTTAATGTTCTTCCTCCGGCTGGTGGAGGTGGTGGTGGCGTTGAACAAGTAGTAAAGGCTAATCCTAAAGTTTTTTTTTATTTGGCCGTGGACGGCAGACTGGCTGGTCGGATCGTGATTGAGCTCTTTGCAGATACGACCCCGCGAACGGCAGAGAACTTCCGGGCCCTATGTACCGGGGAGAAAGGGATGGGGAAGCTTGGTAAGCCACTCCACTACAAGGGATCAATCTTCCACCGTCTTGTCCCCTATCAAATGTTCTGTGGAGGAGATATCACTGCTGGTAATGGAAGTGGAGGCGAATGCATCTACGAAGATAGATTTTTCGAGGATGAGAACTTCATCAGGCAGCACACCGGTCCAGGTTTCATCTCCATGGAAAACCGTGGTCCAGACACCAACGAATCTGGGTTCTTGATCGGCCTGCAGGAGGACAGTTTACTTGGCCGCGAGACCGTCGCTTTCGGTCAAGTTGTTCAAGGATTGACTCTGCTCAATGCCTTAAGTAGAGAGCTTGGAAATCGTAACAACAAGCCTTCCAAGCCCCTGGTGATCGCTGACTGCGGTCAAATCTCATAGATCTTGGTGAGTTTTATCCTATAACAACTATTCATGTTTGATCAGGTGTGTTTCGTTTTGAGTTTGGGTGTTTCCATCGAGTGTAGACCATTGAATAAATAATCTAGCTACCATTGAATGATGATAATCATAAATAATAGATTGGTTAAAGAATCAGGTTAGCTTCGAGAATCCAACCAGCTATTCGTTTAAAAATCTCTATCGTTCCTCTTTTCAAATTTTCATAATGACTTAACACTCAAAACCCAACAGATTATAATTACACGAGTTGAAGCCAAACATGTTACATATACAGCCACTTTCTAATCTAATCTAAAACAGAGCTCTCATATATGAGTTTGATCACATTTCCTCTTTTACCCGCTACGGCGTTGAAACTTACCTTTGCCGTCTTTGATCCATATCGTTGACCGCGTTCTTCTCACATGGTCTGTGAAGAGACGGTACCTAACACAGTTCAAGATTCAGAAGTAAGAAGCCTTGAATAAGATGAGACAAAGCTTTGTTCTACAAATATAAGAATTTCTTGTCAAATAACAATACCCACCTCTCATACTCAAGCCTTTGAGTAACTATCCCATTCAGTAGTAACTCCGAGCTATATACCTCGGCCCCTGAGGAGAAGGAAAAGAAAAAGTGTGATTCCCCGTGAAATCGACCACATACATAAGCAAAAGTTATATAGACGGAACTATAACTCACCTCTTTCTAGAAACGGTATGCAGGTAGCGCGATCCTCTTCACATGATAAGACCAGAAGATTCTCTGGGACCTTATCTTCACTTAGGGCAGATCTTCCGAGTCTTTCTACAGGCTGGCATTTATTTTCATTATGGATCAGTATGTGGGAGAAAAAGTTTTGGAAACATGCACATGAAAGTGTAAAAAGGCGAAGAAATGATTACCAGTCCATGAACAGCCTTAACCAAAGTCGTGATTGTGTTTAAACCAGGCTTTGTATTTGGGGTGATAAAAACTCTTCTCCCCTGAAAGAGTGTAAAAATAATGAGCCGAAAAGGGAGAACAAACGAGGTAAAAAAAAGTATTTGAAACCAAAAGAGTATTAGATACCTGTAGTAGCGGAAACTGGCGTGCACGAGCCAAAGAAACCCCCATGTTGAAACAGAACTCCTTCTCCTTTTTTGAATCTCTGAGTATATACATATCCTCGTCAACGTATATGCTTACTTGATCGATGCTTTCAAGCCATTGTGTTGTGACCACTGGCTTGCCTGAAGCGATTGCCTCTAGCATGTTCCTTGTGCGCGTAAAGTTATCAGCTAAGAAGTGTGTTGCCTCCTTCATGGAGGAAGCTTCCGAGATATCAAACCTTGCCAAAATCTGTTAAGAAAATGCCAGATTGTTAATGTTTTACTTTTGTCTACAAAACTTATTTAATATCAAACTGAAAATTCACTACCAGTTGTAAAAGAAAAAGCACGGTAATAAGGTCACATAATCGAAGGTAACTAAGTCACAGTTATAAACCCAACTTATACCTTCTTCTGATGCTTGGTCACATCTTCATCAAGATGCTGGCTGAACAGGACACGTATACTACCCAAATCTCTTCTCTTTCTAGTACTCTTTGTCTTGGAGATAGGTTCCGCTAATGGTAAGGTTAAGCTACGAAATTCCCTTGTAGTGTGTGATGTAAATGAATCCTTGCAAGAAAGTCTATGATACTCACCACCCATGCATATAGGCGATACATTCGTTGACGGCGTCTTAGACTTAACTGGAGTATCAAACGCGGGGTCTGAACTCCTCCCTGCCTCATTAACCTGATCTTGTGAAATACGAGCTGATCTTCTCCGCTTGGGATAATTCAACACCTCAGCTTCACCTCTACTTGATTTCTTAAGTAACTTAGACATACAATGTTTGTTTGATAATTCTCCTTGCCTCTTCTCTGTAGTTGACACAACAGCTTCATCTGGCATATCAACTTTGTCATTTTTCGAATACCTATCCATATTCTTCTCAGAAGACTTACCAAGAATTGATCTAGCCTTCTTGGTTTTTTGTTTCAATGATTCAACATCACTATCCACAGCCTGAATCCCCTTGATCCTTTTGGATTTTCTGGTAACGACTCCACAACTAGAAATGCCTCCTTCCGGTGACAATTTCTTACCTATTAGATTATTTGGCTCAGGATCAATTTCCCTGCCGTCCCCAGAGTGCAGAGCATTCATCACTTCAGCAGCCATTTGTGTATCAGGGCCTGCTTCTGCTTCTTCATGCCTATCAAAAATTTCTGTATTGCTTTCCTTAGAAACTTCATCCAACTCGTCAACAAGATTCTTTTTAGTTTCTCGTGAAGCAGTCTGGACCTTCCTACTCTTCCAGAAGCATGGACCTTCTTTATCAAGCTGGTCACCCTTTAAAGACCCTTCAATATTCCTCCGGCAAGCTTTAGCAGGACTTGGACTAGCCTTCTTCATTCTTTTTTTCAACAATTCATCTTTACTCATAGCCTGAATCCTCTTAGTTCCCTTGGATTGTCTAGTAACGACTCCACCGGGAGAAAATCCTCTCTCTTCTCCTGGTGACAGTTTCTTTCCTGTAAGACAACTCGCCTCAGCATCAAACTTGCCACAGGCTCCAGAGGACAGATCATCAATCGCTTCAGCAGCCACTTGTGTATAATTCCCTAAAACTACCGCTTCACGAACTTCATCTAACTCTTTGCCAAGATTCTTTTTAGCACCCTGGATATTTTTTCGGCTCCTAGTCACACTATGCTGCAACAGTTTGGAATCAGAAGCCCTTCTTTTATCCACAGCAACTGGTATCAGTTCTCTTTTCTGTTCTCTAGGCAAGCTAGAAAATTCCCGTCTTTTACTTGCAACGCCAAAGAATTCATCTTTTCTTCTACGATAGATATCACCCCCTCCTTCATCCTCACGATTATCATCCCAGTCGAAAATATCGTTTCCAACAGCTCCGCTTTTGTAACTTACTTTCTTTGCTAATTCTTGTGGACCTTTAAAAATCTGAACAAATTTTGATTTTTCTTCTGTTTTCCTTCCATAGTCAGCTTCAACTTCAAAATCAAACTCTAGACGGCACTCACTAATGAGCTTATCAACCAAGTTAAGAGCACTGGCCTGGGATGCCTCGCCAGGTTCTTGAGAGTCAATATAACTCAAATTCCCCAGATCGACATTGCCATCAGTAGAATGACAATTTTCTTCAGGCAAATCCTCAATGAAAAGCTTCCTCGCTGTTTTGTTTGCTGTTCTTAAGTCATTTTTCTCTTCAACAAATATACTGGTAAGAGATTGCTGATTCCCTACTTCTCCAACACTATTTTCTAGACTAGAATTATGTGTGGCTCCTTTCCCAGAAGAATGACAGTTGATTAGAGTAGAACAGTCAGTGTTGGGGTTTGCCGCACGAGCTGCCACAGCAGAAGCACGAAAAGCTGATGAACGAACTGAAGCGAACCTAGCCACCTTTTTCCCTGGTAAAAGAAAAAATGGTCATTGGAAAAAGTGCAAATGAGAGAGGGAACTTGAAGAGAATATATAGAAAAAGAAATAACTGGGAAGTATGCAAGGCAGATATCGTCTT